AACCAGGCCTGGTTTCACGAGAATTCTTCTAAATTGGGGTTTGGACTTTGTGGACCTGACAGGCACATAAAATGATCCTCAAGCTGTCAGATATTACAGGGAGGTAGGTGGGAGGTTCAGTCATTGAATACAGCATTAGGGCACTACCTAGATGGCTAATGTTTAACTAATAATGTCTCATCCAATTGGTGTAGTGATAACATGTGTTTTTTCTTCTTGGATTACTGGGTCTTTTGGTTTACTTAAGATGTTTTGGAGGGCTCTAGTTGGTTTGTGGGCTACAGTGAAGCCATGTCACTGTAATAGTCTGTTGGTTGTTTCTGAGATGTTTCTGATGTATGGCAGCTTTATCCTTTTCATAGTTTGTGTTGATTGTGCTGTAATGGGTTGAGTGGTCAGACGCTTTTTGATAAAACTGAAGATGTTACCTAGTCAGGTAATGAAACATCTGCAAGAAAACAACCAAGCTCAGCGAACCCCCAGAACACCACAGTTCAACCCTGAGCTACATATATTATTTTCTATTGGTAACACTGATATGTGTTATGTAAACTACTACAATTCATATTTCTCTGTTAACAGTAAACCAGAATTAAGTAAGATATAACTGATTTTTCATAATCAAGATAACTGGTCAATTAAAATAATCTCCCCAGTCCTGTAGATTTTCTTAAATATTTACCTCTGATTTTTGGGACAGGGATTAGGGTTACAAGGATCCTTAGATATGCAGGACCCAAATTCAAACTGATTATCATGAAGCCCAACACAACGTGCTATACATGCACTTGGATAGGTACGTCCATTCTGCCCACATACTGGGACAAACTGATCAGCGCAGTCACATGGAAGACCTGAAAAAGTTAAACCTCTGTTAGGATGTTGATTGTATCTACATCAGCTATAGAAAGCCATTCAGTATTTATCCTTGAAGGAAGATGAGGTTTTTGCCCCTTAAATAATTATCTAAGGGGAGGATTATCTTACACTGGCTAAAAATATGGTAACAGAGGTAGACGCTGTTGAAAGTGAATGAATATAAATGTGTGTGTACAAATAATGAAAGCAAATGGCTGAAACAGAAACCTTTCTCATTGCTTTAAGAGGGGTGGGGATGAGCATATTAGCCCTGCTTCTCCTTTTTCTCTTTCATATAGAGAGAGTACATAAATTGCAGTGGGAGCCTCCTTTATCTGTGGATGAGGACTTTGGAAATGAATATCCTCAATTAGTGAAGTTAGACATCCAATCATACTTAACTGGGAGTAACAGGTACTAGTTTTAATTGAACCTATTACAGAATAAGTACACATTATATTTCTTATATTTGCAGCCTAGCACAAAAGCCTGCCTTGAACTATTCAATTTTTGCAAATAGAAGGAAAAAACAAGTCAGTATCTCAAGGTTTTCAGTTCCGTTCCTACTTATGGAGAACATACAGATCCATCCCTGAAACAATAGCAGCCTGTGCATACTTAACTGGAAGTAAGAGTTACTGAACTCAAGGGAACTTGCTACAGAGTAAGCACAGATAGGTTTATACTTACTCAGTTCTGTTGTATGCAAATCATCTCTATTTTTCAGTGTGTTTATGTGTGTGAGTGCACAAAAGTGTAGTTTGTGAGGAGAGATAATAATTTAGGTCTACATATGTAAGTGACAGTTATTTAATTTACAGAAAGCATGTCTCATTTAGCAGGAAATTAATTTTAATCAAGTGATATTAATTTTCATTTCTCCCCCTTTTTTGAAGTGAAGCCTCTGGCCAATGTCTATCTATCTATATATAAAGGTACACAAACATATGTGTCACATGTATACATTTATTGGTGGAAAAAAAATCTCCAGGTCTGACTTCAGTGGAAACACTACTTTTAAATGTAAGGAAGCTGGACAGTGTACAGAATTTTTGTTTAACAACTGCTTTTCTGTCTAATCTTTCCATCTTAAATACAGCACTATCTATCTTTTGAATAAATATAGTAATATCAAGTGGTATTAATCTTTTTAAGCAGTTTTTAAAAATACATTATAACAGGTTCCTAACATTCTTATAAATTATTTCTCCCTAGAACTGTGTGTTTTCAGCTTCATTTAACTCTTATGCTGAATTCCATCTGGGATATTGCCCAAACCATTTCCTTTAGTATCAGCAGTCTGAATAAATCCACGTGAAAACAGGCTATAGAAAGTTGTCACAGAAAATATCTAGGCAAAGTACCACCAGAGAAGGAAAACAAAATCCAGTGTTACTATGTTTCGATTATCACTTCTATCATCTTTCAAAGTTTCTTATAATTTAAAAACACTACCTGTAAACAGGTGACGTTCATCATCTGAACTTAATTCATTTAGACACTGACGAGTAGAGCATATCAAATTCCCAGAAAAACAGGAACAGACATTGCAGTCTATATTAAAAGATGTTCCATGACCTTAAAATAAAAGAAATATATTCATACATCTATTGGATTTTAAAATGTAGCTACTTAAATGTATGCATAATTAGTATGAAATACTGCCCTTGCAGACAAAAAAGAAATTCATTAAATGTATATCCTACCTTTCCTCTAGGAGTTCAGAATAGTGGAGTCTCTCCTCCATTTTTTCCACAATAACCCCGAAAGGGTGTGACTGGCCTAACCCAATGAACTCAAATGACTCAGGGTGGACTTATAATTGGGTTTCCAGATTAACTGTTAAACTACAAATAAATCCTCATGCTTTATCTAGATTTAATGAATCATCTGTCTTTTTCATTTTGAATGACAATTCTGAATTACATGCTAATATTCTTTTACTACACTCTTTTTAGACAACTTTATCACCTTTCATTTGCTTAAGTGAAATCAGTCTAGACACTATTTACATACTGTACAAAAATTACAGAATTCTGTAAAAATAAATGAATTTGTATAAAATAATCTCAGCAAAAGTGAATGATACATACAAGAAATACTTGTTTACTCTATATGGAAAATCTGTGAAAAATAGCAATGGAGATCATCGCTAGGGAGGTTTCCAATTAGAATTAGTTTTATAATCTGCAGAAGTCTAAAATCTTGTTATAAAGGCAGTCTCATGTGCTAGTACTTACTTTTTCGTTGCCCTCCAACAATGCATGACTTTTGGAGATCAACACAATGCATTTCCATACAGTTTTCTAACAAACCATTCTGGCCACATGTGCAAATTTTATAGCAACCAACATCTCCTACAGAAGATGGTACTTGGATGAGCGTACCTTGGCGGACAATAAAATCAGAAGCTTCACCCAACTTGCAGCCTATGCAAAGAAGGCAAATGTTACTGAATTATGTATTCTAAGAGGAACAAGTGTGCTGCAAAAAAAAGGCCTCTTAAGGACTAACAAACAGCTTAAACTTTCACTGATTACAGTTCACTCTAAGACGTATGGAGCATTATACTGAAAGATATATCCATAGCAAGTTCAGTTGGCCTGAAAATGTGAAATTGGAGGTGAAAGATAGATACAAGGTACAGATAGTAAACTTACCTGTAGATATGGGGACAGCACCAAATGAGATTAGAGGAGAAATATATACAGGAGGTATAAACTATGACAATACAACTGTAATATAAATAATGGTAATATATAAACAAAAATTTACAGAGAAAGAAGGTACAGTGAAAGTACAGTGAGGAAGTGTCAGAGGAAGAGATACAGGTATTTTCAGGTAATTTCTGCTTCTGATCCATTTCCCATTTTGCTAAAACAGGTAACTCTCTGGGTGGTTTAGTCATTCTAATTAATATAAAATATCAATTTTAAATCCTGAAGATTAATTTTGAGCAGGCACCCACTTTTCTGTACCTCAAGGTTGAGGCTGGCCACAAACTGTCTTTTATCATAATTAATGCATATAATTAAAAGCCTTGAGGTTTCAGATATACTGTGGCATGAATTGGATTTGGCTATAGCTTACTTGGATTCAAATTATTCTGATTCTCATGCAATTATTCTGGGAGATTTTAATGCAAGGGTAGGATGAGATAAATCACTCTCATGTAAACTTTCCACTGGTTATGATGAGCTTGTGACATATTTTCCTTATTTAATGATGGATGACAAATATATCAAAGTAGGTATACTTTGAAATTTATATATCAGAGGAATTTTTGTCTTTTAAATCAATATTTTCCCCATTATTTACTAAATAACCTCTCTTTAACTGGGTTCACTACTATTGATTAGGTCTGTATCCCATCATGTGATGCAGATTTATTTTCTAATTTTGAGGTTCTCTCCTCAGGCTGCAGTGATCCTCAACTGTTCTCATAGAATCAATAGGGTTGGAAGGGACCTTGGAGGTATTGTAGCCCAACCCCCTAAGAGGGCAGGAATCCTCAGATCATCCCCAACAAATTGCAGTCCAATCTTTTCTTGGAAACCTCCAGTGATGGAGCACCCATGACTTCAAGAGGAAGACTGTTTTACTGTTTAATAGCGCTCACTTCAGGAAATTCATTCATTCAAGTTTGGCTCTCCCTCTGTAAAGCTTCCACCCACTGGTTCTGGTCTTACCCTTTGCTGCTATGGAGAATAAATCCTGACCCTCTGCCCTGTGACAACCCTTCATGTCTTGGAAGACTGCTATCTTGTCTCCCCTTAGCTTTCCTCTTTGGATTTAGCCTCCATACCCCTTACCATCCTTGTCATTCTTCTCTGCAATCTTTCTAATTCCTCAGTATCCTTTTTATATTGTGGCAACACAAACTGGGCACAGTATTCCAGATGCAATCTAACCGGGGCAACAAAGAGTGGTACTATAATTTCCCATGATCTCGACACTGTACCTCTGTTGATGCAGCCCAAAACTGTATTGGCTATTTTGACTGTATTGGCTATTTGGGATGCAGCCCAAAACTGTATTGGCTATTTTGACAGCTACAGCACAAACTGCTGGTTCATGCTTAATCTGTGGTCTACCAGAACACCCAGAGCCTTCTTGCAAGTACTAATGCCTATTTTGTACTTGTGCAACTGTATTTTTTTTCCTGCTTAAATGCAGAACTTTATATTTCTCATCATTTGTAGAGTAAGGAAGATGACCTTGATGGAGATATGCAAGCTCCAAGAGAATGTGGGTAACCAGTATTAAATCTACACTGTGTCATAATTTAAGAGAATTTTTTTTTATAAAATGAGGTATCATTGGTATATGACACCAGAGAAATTATAAAAAATGTACAAAAGTATTTCAAACCAGCGTTGGAAAGGAGAAAAGCATGAGGGGACATTTTATTATGCATGGTGGACTTGTGAGAAAGCGAAGAAATTTTGGATACAAATTCCAACAATGATGCAAAGGATTTTAAAGATTAATATTGTAAAGAAACCAGAATTCTTTTTATTGGGACTTACAGACAATGAATAAGAAAAGACTCATGGTAGACTGATTTTGTATATGTTAACTGCAGCAAGGTTATTGTATGCACAACAATGGAAGAATGCTGAAATTCCCACAGTGGTGTAATGGATTGTGAAAATATCAGAATTCACAGAAATGGCAAAACTGATCTGTTTGGTCAGTGAAAAAACAACAAAAACTTTTCTGAAAGACTGGAAACCTTATATGGACTTTTTACTGAAAGAAGAAAGAAATGAAATTATGATTTATGGATTTCAAGATTAAGAAAGACATGGATTAAATGAGGGGCTGAAGGGACTTGTATAACATCAAGAGGGAGGAGGGATAAGAAGAGTGTAATTATCTGT